GATAATATGTATAAATGTTATATTAATGAGATTTATATTAATTATAAGTGTATATTACAAAACAAAAACTCAAATTTCGCTTTTAAAAATTCAAAACTTTTTTTCAAGAAAATTCAAAACTTATGAGAACAAAAACTAATAATTTAAAAAAAAATATTAAAACCAAACAAATCATGTTTGCAACTACGTACTAAGAACATATTTATACCCAATATCAAATTCACGATATTTTACAAAGTTATTAAAATTTATCTTCATCACTAACGAAAAGTGATCCAGTGATTCCTTAAAGGCTTCCAACTGACGTACTACTCCACTCACCTCATAAATTCTGAGTTCTTTATGAACACTTATATAATTGGGATGTATTACTATATTTATAAGCAACAAAATATTAAATATAGTGCTCTTTAAAATGAAATCCTTATCACTGTTAACACTAGTAGAAAATAAGCATATTACGTCACCCCTTTTATGTCGGAAATACGAACATCCGACGTAAAAAAAATGCGGTGGCATTTTTGTAATTTTTGCGAACTTTTTTACGTCGCACCTGGTAAGGTCCGACGTAAAAAGTCCAATCTACGTCGCACCTGGGAAGGTCTGACGTAAAAAGTCCAATTTACGTCGCACCCTACCAGGTCCGACGTAAAAAAGACGCAAATTTGAATAAGAGAGCGCGAGGCACACCGCGCGCATTCACTTTTCATCACTTTTCATTTTTTTCTCTGTAAACCCTCTCCCTCTTCTTTGTTACTGAATCGTTTTCTTGTTTTTTGCAGAGGGATGAACTCTTTGTTACTCATTTGCACATTGTTGCTGCTCCTCAGGTATGAAACAAGGTTTCGTTAGCACTTTTCTACTTAGCATTGCTACTCTGGTTATCTATTTTATTCGATTTTTTGGTTGTTTTATTTGTGTAGGTAGTGGACGTTTTTGTTGTTGTTATTCTACGAAGCAGAATGGCTTGTTCTGCAAGCAGAACGGCCTGTTCTGCAAGCAGAACGGCTGTTCTGCTTGGAGAACGGGCCGTTCTGCAATCAGAACGGGCCGTTCTCCAAGCAGAACGGGCCGTTCTCCAAGCAGAACGGGCCGTTCTGCCTGCGTTCTTAAGTTTTTTTTTTTGTTTTTTTACGACTTTTTTACGTCGGGTTTCGTAATTTCCGACGTAAATTTACGTCGGATTTGAAGCCCCAACGTAAAATTTACGTCTCCCGCTTCTACGTCGGTACGTTTTCTGACGTAAAAAACCTAAAATATCCGACGTAGTACACCTCTTTTGTACTAGTGTAAGTGGCTTAAATTGACACTGATGAAGAGAATTACATGGTACAAGCCTTCATAAATGCACTTCAAAGATTGTGATTAACTATGAGCTGGAAAATTATACATAATAAATGTTCTAACAGTTGTTTATTGACTTCAATAGAAAATATCAACAACTCTTGCTAGCTGACTTTATGGTTATCGTTCTTTGGAAGTTTTGTGTAATTTATTTCATTGTGGGTGCGTATTCCTCTAGACTACTTATTCAAATGCCATTCTTTCTTTTACTTTAAATTATGTTTAAATGCTAATGCCATCTTATTCAGGTCCAATATATTTTAAGGTCTAAAATAAATTTTGAAGTTAGACCTTTTTAAAAAATTATAATACTAAAATCGAACTTCAATCCTATACTAGATTTAGATAATGACCAACAAACTAAAGTTAATAATATTATAATTAATTTATTAAATTTTATAAGAAGAAAAAAAATATCTTGGAGCCTATTTTACATACGGTCGACCCAAAATATTCTTGGGAGCTTAAAGCTACGGTTTGAGCTGCCTTATGTTTGGATCAGCCTTGATCTTACTATTTTTCACTCACATTCCATAAATTTTGTTTTTTACGTAGAAAAATGATAGAGAAAAGATAATACTCATAATTATTAGATACTAAATCAACGAGTTATATGATGGAGATTCTCAAATTAATATATATTCCAAGTCATTTTTATATGGGATGATAATCCTCCAATTACATCTTGTACCTCTCAAAAAAAAAAAAATTGATGTATGAAACCGCACCACAAGATATAACTTGTGTTCGAGTGTATTTTAGTTTTTTAATTTTTAAAACTTATTTTAAAAGATAATTTTTTAAAGAATAGAAATGAAATAGTAAATGAGAGAAAAATAATGAATAGTAACAATTTAGTAATGTTGGTTTAATGATTTTTTTAAAAATGGATGAGTGGCGGTGATGATAATAGTTCTAAAGACAAACAAAGTAATAATTTTGTAGGAGTGTTTATAATTGATTTTAATCTCAACCATTATTTTTTTATTTTTAATTTGAAGGTTATTATTTACTGTTATCATATCTTATAATAAGATATGTTTTCATTAAATACACTCAAGATGGATCTATTAATTCATCAAAGTGCAGGACATTGTTTCCACTAAATTTTCAATTTTATTTTGTATAATATATGTATAATTATAAATTATTTTATAATTTAAAATATAATAAAAAATAGTTTATGATATATCAATTACTTAATCTTATTTTATTAATATTTTTATTTTGACATTTTAAATAATTATTTTGACTGTTCATAATTACATGTGATATTTTCACACACTACCTTCATAATTAGTCAAAAATATCTCTTTATTATTTATTTCACATTACATTTCTTTTATCTTTAATATTTTTTATATGTAAGAATTACAATGATCATAACAGAATTCAATCTTTAGACTTTGTTTATACAACCTAAACTCTCTACTACGTGAATGACATTAGTAGTTCTAATTGTATATTTTTTAATATATTATCTTTTTATTTTTATCACAAAAATTTAACAATTTTTTTTCTAATTACACAAAAGTTAAAAATTATTTTACATTACAATTCAAATTCTTTATTATAAATTCAATTTTTAATTTATATAACTAAATATATTTATTTATTAAGAATTTTAATAATAATATAAGCTGTGTATTTAAAATTAATTATTTATTATTTAAATTTTAATTATATAAAATAAAATTTTATGATGTACAATAAATAAACTAAAATATAAGTTTACACATGTAAATATTGTTCTCACTATTTATAATTTCTGCGAATCACTAAATACACTCTTTATATATAACAAGAGCAATGTTGAGGATACTCTCATTATTATTAAGAGAAATTTATTGAAAATTATAAGTTTTGTAATCTAAGTGTTTCGTGATTTAATGTTATGATCTATCAAAATTTATATTTTTCAATTAATCCTAAAAAAATATATTAGAAAAAAGTTAGAAAAGTTATTATTGCAAAGGATGGCTAAGTGTTATAAACTCTCTTAGTACTTGTTTTTAATTTTCATGAATAAAAAAATCTATAACATTATATAAAGGGTATATATTTTATGATAATTATTTTTTTCTTCTATTTTTATACAAATCATTTTCTCCTTATTTTTTTTACAACTTCTTAAAATTAAAATTTGTTACAAGTAACTTCTCATTCATCATCATCACCATCATCATCATCATTAAATTAACTCGAGGCACTTCATGCCTCTATTAAATAATAAAAATATATTAGTCTAATTGATATTATAATTAATTCATTAATTTGAAGTTCTTAAATTTGATTTAAAAATATTTTTTTTAATTATTTAAAATATAAGAGTATAATGGTCAAAAAATGTAAAGATTAAAGTAGTTACTAAAAAGGGTATCTATTTATATATTAGTATATTATTATTCATTTTAAAATTACAATACTTACTTACAAAAATAATTATTTTTTAATTCAGTAAAGGCATGAAATGCATTTTTCCTGCTAGCATTTTATAGAAAGTATTGCAATAAAACATATTCAATATCTTAAAACCAATAAAAAAAAATTCTTAACCATACTTGCTTCTTTCAGTTCTTGGTTATCAATTTTTTTTGGTAGGTTTAGAATCATCTAATAGCAAAATAAAAAAGTCATTCCGTGCAAAACTCTTGAATAACAGTCCTAATTAATGTGACTTGAAAATGACCAAAGACAGAGAATGCACATAGTTAATGGATATAGGTTCATTATCTTTCTGAAGCTGTGACCCTGACCCTGACCCTGACCCTGACCCTGCTCTGCTCTGTTATCTCCTCTCTCCATTAATGGCACCAACGCCACTTCAAACAACGGCATAAATGCCCTTGTCAGTGTCCATGGTACGACATTTTCAACTACCTTTCACCTGTTTTGATTCAACACACGTTCACCGTTCAACCCTCAAATTCTGCACAACCACAACCACTGACACATTAGCTAAGGTTCACTTCCCAAGGCTCTGTTCTCTCTCTGTTTCCTCTGTTCTGCTTCGTTACCATCACCCTCTTAATGATGGGTCCTTCTTTGTTTTTCCAAACAGGTGCTCCATGGTGTAAAGTTTCGGTTTTTGCTCCATGAACCTCCTTCACCATTCTCCGAATTCCCCCCCTTCTTGGTGCTCTTCAGTTGGGTGTTGTATAGTATATCCGAGGAGATGATGCATTGTTTCAAAATGTTTAGTAGCATCTAAAAAACTGTTTTCTTGATTTTAGTTGTAAGGTCAAAGTTTTTGGAATTTGTGACCATAATTGTGACCGCATCAGCTAGATTTGTTCGTAATTTTTTGCAATTTTCCCTAC